ACTATATGGACTGAGAAACTCTTTTCAACCTACTTCCTCCACCATTGCAGACCATTGTATGGGTCTATATGTATCTACCCTCCTTATCTCTGTGTCGTGAGCCCCCAACCCCCGGGCTTAGTTGGCTAACATTTGTATTTTCTGTAACCTAGTTCTGTTCCCTTCCCCACCCCCATCCCTCCTATGTTGGTCCCTCGCTCAGGCGATCTGTATTTCCCTACTGACTTTTTGTCATCTTTTTGGGTTCATAACTGTTAACATCTACTAATACAATTCAATTCTTTCTGGTTCAAATACAGTTAATAATTCACATTTACATTCTGAGCTTAGTTAACAAGTTTGTTGATACTTGAGCCAAAGTAGAATTTAGCTTCTTCTTACATGGTTTTTATTTTGATAGTATGCCCAAGTAATTAATCTAATGATCACTTTTCGTAGTTAACATGAGGTAGATAGATTGACTACTCAGAGAACTGATCTGTTGAATAGTTGGCCAGATTCACGTGGTTTTTCTGTTCACAATAGCACTTAAAAACACAGACAACTTTGATTATTATGCAGTATTCAGAAATGTTTTGTATTAATACTATAATTCGCTATCAGCTTTTATCACCAGAACTATCCCGAGTTGACAGCTCATCTAGTTTGTTGTCCAATTCAAGGTATTCCAAGTCCCTCCTTCAACCATATCCCAGCATGGCACTTGTAGTCTTCTGGGGCATCTTTTCCAGGTTCCTGGAATATTTTAGCATAGGCTAAAGGTCATTCTACTTCAGTAATTTGCATCCAATTGCAGTCCATGAATATTTGAGTTGCAGAAGCTTTAAGACACAATGCAAAGCCAGTTAGTTTGTTCATGTTTTTCATTGAACAGAAAAGGTTAGTGCACTCACAGCAAAGCCAGGAGCTATAGCGTACTGAGTCTTTTTAAGAGACCAATGCATTATGTTATAACTGTAAATGGAATTTAATTTGCGGGACATCAGAATGATTGCATGGTATATAAATTATTTAAATATTAGGTAACTTGCTATTTTGAGCAGAGAGTCTATTTGAAAGGTGGTTCTTTTTCAGAAACTGAAGGACTAGCTGAATCTGTAAACCCTATAAAATAAAGTTATTTCTACCTAATCACACATCACTGAAATCACTAAGAACTTTGCCAGCCATTTCAGTGAGTAGAAAATATGATGATTGCAGTTAACTTTTATTGTAGATTAACAGAAATGTTGACACTACAAATATGAAGTAATAGAGCAAAGCAAGACTATATTGTTAATTAGTTAAAGTAGGCATACTATAAAAATTTAGTTTTGTCCTAGTTGCCATTTCAATATATTTAATGACTCTGGGCCCCAATCCTGCAATGGATTATGTCAGTAGGGCTCAAATTTGTGGCCCTGCAGGCCAGAAAAGTATCATAGCATTGGTTCATGGGCCAAATTGGGTCCACATGGCCAGACTGGCTCACTGTGGCCTTGACTGACCCCTGCATGCTGGGATTGGGAGCCTTGCACTGCTCCCACCCAGCTCCATGTGCTGGGATTGAAGCCTCTGGACTTCACACTGCCTCACCTGGCCTGGCATGGTAGAATCAGGGCCCTGTGCAGCCCTTCATTCCTGGACCTAGGGCACAGGGCTGTGGCTTACAGGGCTCCTCACAAACCCATGAGGAGGCCCACAGGCTGGATGACTTGGCACTGGCGGTCAGATGTGGCCTATGGGCCAGAAGTTGAGTTCCTTTGGATTACTTAAATGGACTCCTGGGTCCATGTTGAGCTTCACTAATGTGGTCAGTGGTGCCTTACATAGGTGCACTGCTATAGACATGCTATACTGCAACTATAGTTTGCAATCTGCAAGAACAGATGTCATCTAGAGAAATGTGGATAGTTAAAAAAATAAATAAATAAGCTAAATAAAACTCCTTGCAATGTACTTCAGACTCATAGCTGAGCCCTTGACTCAATTACACTTTAACCTCAGAGCTGTCCAGCTTTTAAGCCCCCTGATGGCAGCACGAGATGAGATACGGGCATCAGGCTGCGTGCTGTGCAAATGTGGCGGGGACCAAAAAACAGCAGCTGAGGGAGTAGGGGCCGGACAGGAGCCTGGGGGCCACAACTTAATCTCTTAGAAGCCAAATGTGGCTTGTGCACAGCCAGTTGGATAGCCCTGATCTAACTGAAATCAGTGAGGGAATTTCTGTTGACTTTGCTGAGAGTTGGATCTACACTATTTTGAGACGGGGTGGGTCTAATGTAATGAAATGATTGAAGATTAAACTGATTCACCTTTTACAAGAAAGCCATTTCAAATTACTTGATTTCTGAAAAACTGCATCCATTACTAAATTAGGGCCAAAAGAGATTCAGGTTGTAGACAGACAAAAGCACTTTAAAATTATGATGCTTTAGAGATTATCTGCTGTAACCATTTCATCTGTTATTCCATTACACTCCAAGTGGAAGCTAAACCATTGTTATTTTAAACATACATTATTAAGGTTTAAAGTTATAGTGATTTAGCTGCAACATGCTAGTATGGGCAGAAAAGTTGCATTGGTTACACCAGCGTGGTCCCAGTTGATCCTTTTAAAATGCTTTATTGTTATGTTTGTCCACTGGTTTAGAGCACTGCAGTACTGTATACGTTAAATTGTATTGGAATCAGCAGAATATAACCATGTGCATACAGTTAGACACATACTTGAGAGCTGTGCTCAATTGGAGCTTTTATCAGTATTCTTCTGTTCCGTGTAGCACAGCTAGGAGCAAACTTACCCTTTAACGTTTCTTTTATCAGCAATCTGTTCTCCGAAATAGTGTGGTTACCAGGGATCCAAGTTTTCCATTTGCTGCAGAAAAATGTGGATTTTGCCCTTAATGGAGAAAAATGCAGATTTTGTCCTTTAAAGTATAATCATAGATTTCTCCTTTAAAGGAGAAAAATGTGGGAAACCACAGATATCCTCTTCAAGGCTTGCAGTGTTCTAGCCTGCAAGGGGCTGCTTGGAGCTGGGGGGGGGGGGGGGTAGCAGGATGTGGGGGTGCCACATACGTGTGCATGCACACACATGCACGTAGCAGACAGGCAGCGTGGTGGAGAGCAGCTCCCTCCAGGTAAGTCTGTGGGGGTGAGATGGGGGAGGGGGACACAGGCTATGCACTGCAGAGATGGAGGGGGCACAGGCGATGTGTCTGGGGAACAGGAGGCATAGGTGACATGGTGGGGAGGCCAAGGCAATGCGGCAGGGAGGGCATATGCCCCCCAAGATTTCTGCACCCACAGCAGGGCACAGGGCTGCAGCAGGGCCAGACCAGCTACAGGCAGGAGCCACCTTTGCGGCCTAGTGGGTGGGACCAGGCACGGGAGGGAGTGCTGTGTCACCAGCCCTGGCAGCAGCAGGGGCACAACTCCTTGCCTTGCCATGGCGGTGCATTGCTCCTTGCCACATAGGTTCCTGCCCGCTGGGCCATGGAGGTGGCTCCTGCCCAGAGCTGGTCCGGCCCCGCTGCAGCCCTGCACCCCACTGTGTGTACGGAAATCTCGGGGGGGCATCTGCCCCTCCCGCTACATCACCTGTGTGCTCCCTGCGCACAGGTGATGTGGCGCAGGTGTGGCATATGTCACCTGTGCCCACACCCACTCCCTTTATCACATGCTAGGGGTGCTGTCGGCTGTGAGTGAGAGACACCAGCAGGGCCGGGCGGGGGCGGGGGAGTGGGGAGGGGCGAGTGTGGGTCAGGTGTGAAGGGCCACCGGCAGGGCCAGGAGACTGTGGGTCAGGAGGGCGGGGGTGGGGGGGGGGGGCTGGGGCTTTGGGGGGGGGGGGAGGGGGCTGTGGCTTGGGAGTGAGGGGCAATGATGGCATGGGCAAGAGCCAGGCACTAGTGTATCAGGGCTGCTCAGTGCCACAAAATAGTGGGGCAGGTATGGGGAACAGCTGGACCCACATCCTGGTGAGCACAGGGGGTAAGGCAAGCTCTGACTTTCTACGATAAAAAAATGAAATGAAATGCCAAAATATATACGTATTTAACATTTATTTTATAATAATGATTGAGGCACTGGTAGACTTCCAAATTGCTTTAAAATTATAAATATATCAGTAAAACATTGTGTTCAACTGATACCTGTGTGTGTGTGCGTGTGTGTGTGTGTGTGTGTATAGTGACATTTCATTTTAATAGTGTAAAAACATGGATTTTGTGAGTTTTTAATCAGAATTTAGGATTCTTTATCAGAGAATTTAGGATTTTTAAACACAGAAAACCAAGATCCCTGGTGGTTACTTTGGTCAGCCAGTTTCTCTTTTATGTTAAATTCAAGGTTAACAATGTCTATATTCCATAGGACATTTTCATATAACTTTAAATTCTAAGTAAATCAAAATTATGTCCCAACATACTTTGAATTTTTTACTTGATTTTTAACATGTTGTGACTATGGATGTTTATAGATTACTCTTGTTGAGGAAAATAAAAGAATAAGACAGACGAATAAGACACAAGCAGCAGTTTTTGCTTATGTTTGCTTGTGAACCAGTTTTTTGTTAAAAGTTGAAGTTTCGGTTTCAAGATGTCTCTTGTCAGAGTTCTGACTAAACATTTTTATTTTCCAGAGTTGTTTAGAAAAGAGTTTAATTCTTTAATCTGTCTGTTTATTTAATGTTTCTTAATATGTTTTTTAACATACCAAGTAGTTAGTGATGGTATTGCATTGGGCACTCTAACTATGGATTTCCTGAAATTGGTGCATAAAAAACCAGAACCACTATGCTGAATTAACCCTGTTTTCTGCATCTAGTATAGACAATTGCTCTTCTCTTATGTGGGTTGGTGTTCTTCAGACTTACTGTTTTAATGGAAAAATGTAAAAAATTAATCATATATAAACAATGCTTAGTTTGTATCTAAAATAAATAAATGAAAGAAGAAAAAGCCCATGGTTAATTATATTAAACTCAACCTGACCTGTTATCCTATTTGACTTCTCAGATTCTCATTGAGAATGTCGATTATTGGATGTATAAGAGATGGAGAGCATATTGTTTACAGTGAAGATCTTTTAAAATCTGCTTTTTAGACAGCAACGGTAAGTTGAAATTCATATATATATATATATATAGTGTGTGTGTGTACACACATGCATGCAAACATAAATTATGTTAGGTTGGGGGTTTTTTTTGGTTGGTTGATTTGGTTTTGTTTCAAAGCTAAGCAAGAAAAGGGCAGTACCAAAAGTTAGGAAGACCAATTCAACTCCTCAGAAGTGTGAAAGTCCATAATAAAATTTATTAACAACTTAAAAAATAAGCGATATGGAAGCAGAGACTGAGGGGTTCTCTCCTTTTGGTTTGAAAAATGTGAATTCATATTCAGTTAGCCTTCCCTCAGTCTTGCAGTTTTCTACAGCAGCCATCACTGCAATGTGTGCAACTCATCAAAAACAATATGTTATATTAGAATATGAAGGGTAGCCATCGGAGGTTTTATTATGGTGTTTGGACTAAGGAAAGAAGAAATTGTAAACAAATATGCAAGGTAAAATATAGTGGTCAGTTTTCTTACGGCTTAGGGTATTTTTTGGATTTTAGTTGTGTAATTCATTTTAATTGGAGGCATGCCTCTAAAGCACAGCTTGTGATCTACCTTTTATTTACTCTAATGTCTATGGACTCTACTAATCAAAATAAGTGTCATGTCCTCAGGAGATGTTCTGTCCATTATACTTGGTATATGGAATAAGTACTGAAAACTTTATATTCTTTTTCAGCCTGAACAGTTAAGCTGCTTTTAGATAATAAAAGTAGATCTGATTTTTTCCTGTTTGATTCTTCTTGTTTTTACATTTGATCTATGACAATATATGGAATTTACTGAAGATAGTGTTGAAAAGTATTAATAGTACACTTTATTGGTAAGCAATCAAAACATTCTTATTAGGGCTGTCAAACTATTAAAAAAATTCATCATGATTAGTTGTATGATTAAAAAAATAATCACAATTAATCGTGATTTAAATTACACAGCTAAAAATCAAAATTATGCACAGAAAAACTCAAATTTTGCAAAATTATGCAGGTACTTTTGTATGGTTGTGGGGTGGATGTGGGGTATTTGTGGAAATTTGTGAGGGTGTGGAGGGCTGTGGGTGTGTATTTGGGGTTTGGAGCTTGGAAAGGGGGGGGTCCTGTATGACCTGGCAGGGTGCGGGGTACTGTGGATCAGGAGTGAGGGGCAGCAGGGGCGCTGTGACTTGGGAGTGAGGGGTAGACACGCACACACCGCACCAAGCAGGCAAAACTGTGGAGAAGGGGAGGAGAGGGGGCAGATCGAGGTTCCCATGGTGAGGGAGTGGGGTAGGAGCTAGAGTAAATGGGGCCCCAGGGCCAGGGCAGGTCATGGAACAGAGCCATGGGTGGCTTGGCCAGGTGTAGGTGAGGCACAGATCCTGCTGCATGCACCCCCAGAGCCCTAGCTCACCTCCACCCTGCACACAAATCCGAGAGGCACATGCCCCCTGTGCCTCCCCCAGGGGTGCGTGCAGTGGTGTGAGCTGCACCCCTTATGCCCTTGGACGAGCTGCTCCTACCTCACTCCCTCCCTCACCATGGGGGCCGCAATCTGCCCCCTTGCCCCTTCCCTCCCCCACATCCCTTCTCCCTCACAGACTTACCTGCCTGGTGATGCTCTACACACCACCCAGGCTGCATTCCTGGCCACGAGCAGGCTGTGGCTGCAGCTGCTCATCTGCCTGTGACTTTTCACCTGACCCCCAAGCCCCCCTGCTGCAGCAGCCCGGAGCCCACGCCCGTGCTGCTCTGCAGTCCTCTGTGCTGCCACTATTGCCACTCTGGGCAGCCTGCTGACAGTATTGGAGCAGAGCCCAGGTATGGGCTCTGAAACCACATGTGCAATTAATGTGTTAAAAAAATTAACATGAGCACCGATTAACATGTTAATCACACATGCTAACTGCGATTAATTGACAGCCTTAATTCTTATAATATAATTGATTTCTAATGAGCTAGATTTAATTGACTTGCAATTAAATGCATGTCTTTCTAATTCTGTAGAAATTGCACGCAGTACCTCATTCTTGGGCCCAACTTCTTAAATATAGTAATAAAGTATCAAGTTTCAATTTTATACTCTTTCATCATTATTACAGTTACCAAATAAGTTCTGATTTAAAAAAAAAAAAAAAAAAGGGGACTGTGTGACACTACTCAGTTAAATTTTTTAAAGAATAAAATATCTTTGCCAAGCACTTCTCCCTCCATAACCCCACTCCATGAAGATCTGAGCATCTCCCAAAATCTCTCATTGGAAGAGTAAATTAATAGTCCAGTAAAGTAACCAAATTATCCTCGTGTTTTAAATTATGAGACACGGGAGGACATTGAGGATGAATGGAAGAAAACAAGCATCTGGCCAGGTGTTCTCTGCTCTCTGCTGAAGTATAGTTCTGTTCTGAAAAGGAAATATTTAAAAATTGCATCTTTCTCAGCAGATCTTCTCCCTTTGTATCTAGATATTACTCAGTCACACATGCTTGCTCCAGTGATGAAAATATTTTACTACTCTTGACCCCCAGTAAAAACCCCGATCTGGGAAAGTGCACTGGAATTTTTTTCTGGTTCATGCAGCAACCCAAGTATTCAGTTCCAGTTTATGAACTACTTGTTTAACCTCTTTATCTTCAAACTACAGCATCAGTTTCAATTTTCCAAACCCAGTGATGGCAGCTGCTGTAACTGAGGGCATAATTTGAAGGTAGTGGAGCACTAGAAGCTGAAAGAATTTGACCTGTAGAATCTTGAATTGTGGAATACGTAAGCCAGAAAGAATGCGGCTCAGCTTTCAGACTCCAGACTGACTAGCAGTGAGACAGAAAACATATGTTGCTTTTAAACTGGGAAAACTGATGCAGAAATCAGTGAAACAGGTTACATTATTTTCCCTAAATCAGTTTCTCGAGTAAAGCTGCATGTTAAGTAGTTAAAGGCTAAGTTATCTACAAGTCCAAAACATGATTTGCCAGTGTGGTATTCCAGTATCAAGTAAAATGTTCCTTCACAACCTCCAAAAGTATGAGACCTAAGATAGTCATTTTTCATCCCACTTATTCTACCTACCTTCCCAACAAGAGCCATGTTTCTCTCGAGCTTATTTGATTGTCACTCCATTACTGCCATAGAAAAAGAGACCAAGTAAGGACCAGTACTGTCATACTTAGTATAACATTGTATTGCCTATAGATCACTTGACAGAGCCCTTTATTGGTTTATAATTTCTTTATGAATGTTACAATTTGAAGCTTTGGTGGGAGGGTATTTTTATTTCGTAAAAAAAAGAGATTTTTAAAGTTTAAGAACTTCCACATCTATGTGCAGATAGGAGTATATTTGTTTAAAGTGTATGTTCTTAGGATGGGTACTCGTAAACTCTAGTAAGTGAGTTCACTGTAATTCAGTCCTCCTCTCTCTCCTTGGCTGAATAAAAGTAATATAATACTGGCCTGACTGCAGTTTTAGCTGTTTGTTTTCTTTCAGATAATACATTTCAGGTTGCAAATAAGTGTATATTATTTCATGCGAATTAACTTTCTGTGGTAAATTTCCATCCTTCATTGTAAAATTGTCTGGGCTATGCTGTGGTGGTTCTTCATTTAATTTCCATGAAAAAACTAATATAACAAAACATGACTCCAATGTAAAATTTGTTTGTGTAGCATTTCTGATCTATATGTATATACTGTCTATAGATTACATAAGTAATACTTTACATGAGTAGTCTATAGAAAGTTATTTTTAGGTACGTTTTTGTCCTGATATTTACAAAGCTACTTGAAATTGATACTTTCTTTTATTTTAGGTATTTTAATTCTTACTAGTCTTCAGGTATCCATCAGACATTTCATGCATTTTCCGTCATTTTGGTAAATATTTATACATATACTCAAAGCTTGATAGCTGGACAGTCCTTCACCAAAACAGACTTCATATACACAGGAACCTTCCTAGTTGTACAATGTGCAGTCAGTTTGAGTAAAATACATTTGTACATGTAAGTAAAATACTCCAAACTTCCATTAGCTAGAAACTGTTTTTCATTATCAGAAATTGTACCATCCTGTAGAACACAATTAAAGTTGTTTCTTTCTCAAACATTTATTTTGCCTACATGTTGTGTAAGTAAACCACAAAGCTATTTCATTTTACACACAGTGACATTTCAAGAGGCATCTTACATTTGTTAAATATTTTATAATCGATGCCAAGTAATAATGATATCCTTGCCTAGCATAAAAAGAGACCATATAGTTCTTTCATATTACAAAAAACAAGGCAGATTTGTTTGCTGTTTTTTCAGTTCCTCTGTAAAACCTGCGTTGGTTGTGATATTTGAATAACTATGGTCTGAGGTTTACTAGACAAGTAGCAAGCTGAGACTTCTGATTTGTTTGCTTTGTATTTCCTCATTTCCTTAGCCTCTCCCATTGGTCTCTTTCTCCTGTTGTATTGTGTCTAACACCTAGAATGCCTGCTCTCACAAGCAAAATTTTCATTTTGTTTGTAACTTAAGAGTTTGTAACTTTTCCAAATCCCTGTAGTTAGGTCTGTTTCAAGACGGAATGAACACTTCAAGATTTCCTTCCAGGTTATGCCATGGTCAGGTGAAACTTCATCTCTCTTTGTCAAGCTAATCATATTTTACTTCATACCAAGTTTGCTTTTATTTGAAATATCTAAACACAAATGTGCTTGTTCCAAATCGTGTTGAGTTATGCAAGCTAAGTATAATATTTGCTTAAATTGGCAGTCTTATATTTTTGGCAAAAAAATTAATCAGTTTTTAGTGCTGAATGCTTTTCATTTTTTTTTTAGAACTTTTTTCATTGCTTATTCTGCATTTGGAGGCTATAGTCTCTGGTGCACTGTTTTTCATGTGCAGTGCAAGACTTTACGCAGCGCAACACAATGAAAGCTGATCTATTTAGTGGAAAGTTTGTCCAGCTTGGCAAACTGATTTTTTGTCTTGCATTGTTTAGGCATCCCTGATCTGTCAGGGAAGATTGCATTTTATAAA